AACGTCTTCGGCGACGGCCTCGTGCGCCTCGACGGGCAGCTCTACCGCCTCAGCAGCTACATTAAGAGGTGGGTGGCCTCGCCGCGCGCCCCAGCCCGTCACCTGGTACCCGCAGAAGCCTCCACCTGGCTGCGGTCTCTGGGAGCCTGGGCTCTCCTCGCCGCCTGCGTCCCCGCGTGGCCCACTACTCCGTGTGCTTCTAGACTTTCCTTCTGCTTCCATCACCGGGAGCCTGCACGCTCGCCCTGGTTCTTCTGCTTCTTGCACTGATATTTTGCAGCTGCTGCTTGAAGTCGCTCAGAAGGGCATCAGGCCCCGGGCGCGAGGGGGAGGGCAGGGGCCCCAAGTCAGAGCTCATGACTGGCGGATGCTTCTCCCATTCCAGCTCCTTAACTGGGTCAGATGAGCTCAAATTGGGGGCACACCCTTTAGGGGCTGTCTGCAGCGCTGCGAGACTCACATCCTGGCTTTGGAGCATGGGTGGCGGTGGGGATAGGGAGCATGCACCATTCTGAGCACGGCCAGCCCTCTCCGGTGAGGAGACCGAGTGGAGAAGCATGCAAAAGCTCAAAGTTTCCCATCCCATCTCCGGTCTCCCTTCGTGTTTCAAACATAAACAAAGAAACCGAACTGAGAAGGGAACAAAGGCCCTGGAAGTCCAGACTGGGGCCATGTGGGCTGTGGAAGGCACAGATAAGTTCTGGGGAAGTAAGTGTGAAACCTACGGGCCGTAATTGGAAGGGGGCCCCCAGGATGCTTGACTGTTGTGGCCAAAGTGCCCCCAAGCTCTTCCTGGCAGACATGAAGCTGGCAGGATGTGGCCCAGCCATGTGAAGCAGACTTTGGTGCCACGGGGTAAAGGAGGGCACTTCAGGCCTGATTCCACATGGCCTCAGGCCTCCAGAGGTCACCCTTGGCAAGGGCCTGGAGTGCAAAGCCCTGTTATATTTGTGCCAAGAGCGCCGAGTGCCTGAAGACCATTCTAGACCATTCTAGAGTTTGACTCAGAAATGAATAAGATAGCCAGCTTTTGAGACACAGTGCCTTTGCTAGTGGGAAAGACAGCGTGCTGTGGCACCCTGTGGGTAGCAGGGAGCCAAGAGAGGCAAGCAAACAAAATGAGATATTGAACGTGCAGTCTCCAAAACTTCTGGGGAAAAAACCTTGCTTTTCCAGACAAAGATAGTGAGGGCTCTGAATGCCTGAAGAACCATTTCCCAGCAAGAATTTCTCCCTCTCTTAGTGAAATGAAAATTCCAATCCCAAACCATAAGCGGAGGACTGTGGGAGGAACTGAGTCAGAAATCAGATGTGCGCAGATTTACAAAGAAGATACCCATTGTATTTGAGAACAGGGTATGAAAAATAAAAATGTCCAGAATTAACTGAAGCCATAGGTTAGTCTTTTGACAGAATCAGTTCTCCTAATTGTAGCAAACAGTGCTGCAGAATCTGAAATGATTTTGAAGTCTGTCATCTAACTTTTGCTTTGAACACCTCCTACACAAAGAAAATTAAACAGCGGTGATTCCGTGACAGCTTTGAATCTAGAATAAACAACTGGGCCACAATGACCAGGTAACACAGACCAGGGTGCAAATACAAACCAACAAATAATAGGCTATCATTGTGTAAGCAATACTGTGAGGGCTTTTGTACCTGGGAAATAGCAAGGAGCCTCCAAAAATAATTTAGGTGATGGAAGGAGCTATCTATTGTCCTCAGGCAGGGAAGGAGGCTTTTATAACTGAGTGTGCAGTCCTGAAGGATGGCCAGGAGGGAATCTGGTCTAAATGGAGACAGCCTTCTAGGCAGAGGGAGAGGACTGGGTTGTGGGCAGCAGTGAGAGGTTCTGCCCTTGTGAATCAGGAGGTGGGAGGCACGCTGAAGCCAGAACTCAGATATCTAAAGTTTCACTCCTCTGAGCTGCCAAATTTGCCCAGTTGTCTTGGCTTTAGGGATAGCATACAACCTCCCTCCCTCCCTCCCTTCCTTCCTTCCCTCCTTCTTTTTGAAAAATAAGCTCTGGCCAGTTTTATTAAAGATTTGCATGATTTTCTTTCACCAGTCTGTTCTGGCATGCTTCTAAAGATCTCAGGGCTAGGTGCAGTGCCTCATGCCTGTAATCCCAGCACTTTGGGAGGCTGAGGCAGGCGAATTGCTTGAGTCCAGGACTTCGAGGCCAGCTTGGGCAACATAGTGAGACCTCCTCTCTACAAAAATTAGCTGGGCGTGGTAACATGCACCTGTGGTCCCAGCTGCTTAGGAGGCGGAGGTGGGAGGAGGATGGCTTGAATCTTGGAGGTGGAGATTGCAGTGAGCCAAGATGGTACCACTGCACTCCAGCCTAGGCAACAGAGTGAGACCCTGTCTCAAAAAAAAAAAAAATCTCAGAATGCCCTGGATCAGTGACACCAGGGTGCCCTTCCTATGGTATTTTCCACCCGTTGTGCCCAATTGAATGTTATGACCGCTGGAGTGGTAGATGGCAGCTTTGAGAGCATGTGGCTTAGTGCTGTGTTTCAGATTTCCTCGAGGCCAGGCAGTTGGTGGGGATGACCAGTTTCACTTTGCCTTGTCTGTCATCTTCAGAGCTGGCTTGCCCCAGCTTGTATTTTCCACCCTTCTTAATGGGTTGGAGCCTAGAGTGGATGGACTCCAGTGACTTTTCATCTTCTATGTGGCCAACATATTCTGGCCTTGGGTGTGGGATGGCCTCTAGGCAAAGGCAGCCACCATGATGGCCAGGGATCCCAAAAGGCAGAATGATTCCTGATCATTTTGGACCATAGAACTTTTTTTTTTTTTTTTTTTGAGACGGAGTCTCGCTGTGTCGCGCAGGCTGGAGTGCAGTGGCCGGATCTCAGCTCATTGCAAGCTCCGCCTCCCGGGTTTTTACGCCATTCTCCTGCCTCAGCCTCCCGAGTAGCTGGGACTACAGGCGCCCACCACCTCGCCCGGCTAGTTTTTTGTATTTTTTAGTAGAGACGGGGTTTCACCGTGTTAGCCAGGATGGTCTCGAACTCCTGACCTCGTGATCCGCCCGTCTCGGCCTCCCAAAGTGCTGGGATTACAGGCTTGAGCCACCACGCCCGGCCAGAACTTTTGAGAACTGTATGTAGATTCCCCAGAAATGTAGATAGATACCCAATTATTGGTGACCATCCAGGATGTTCATGAGATACTTGGACCCAGGTTAAGAGTCCTTGCTCTATTAATTAATTAGTTCTTTTTAACTCAACAAATATTTTCAGCATACGGGATAAGCCCCTGGTGTAATTAGAATTTCTTTCTGGGACCTCCTATGTGTGTGCTGTGGCTTTCATGAGGCCCTTTTCCAAGCAACCCCGAAAGGCTAAGAGCCACCAACCTTGACTTTCAGATGATTCACTTGCTAAGAGAGCAAGAGGATGATTTTAGCAGCACCACTTAGGTTCATTTTCTAATACTTGAACATTTTTATAAGTACATACCTACTAAGTAAACTAAGGAAATCTAGCATAGTGGGAAGGTTTAGTGATGGCCACCAGCCCCAAAGCTCCTTCCAGAACCTACTTGAAAATATTTGTCCTACTTTGTAGGATTTACGGCAAGATCTTTATTTTTGTTTTTTTCTTTCAAGATCAGGGTTTTCACCCATGTTGTAAACACAATGTGCTCAGGACACAAGATGTGGGTAATGGTCATTCAGGGAGCTATTCATTCAATACTTAAAAGTCAAAATTACCATTAACTGTGACACACACGCGTGCACACACATACACACACACCTTTTCTTTCTATAAAGCAGCCTCTTGGTGAAGTATAATGGCAAACGTTTGGCAAAGAAGACCTGGAGTCCCTTCTTTTTGATGCTCCCCTAGCATGAAAGAAGCTGCTTGGGGAACAAAAATAAATACAATAGTAATGGTGGCTACTAACATTTACTTGAGTGGTGCAAAGTATTTCTCAGCTATTATCTCATAACAGTTTAGAAAGTTCGCACTATTGCTCCTTTTTACAGATGTAAGCATTAGGACTCAGAGCTTAAGTCATTTACCTAGGTAAGATGCTGCTAAGTGGGAGGACCAGCAGAACCAGGAGAACCTATGCTTTCAGCAAATTACTTCAAACCTGAAATAATCTTGCTTTATCACTCATTTCCTGAATCTACAAATAAATAACTGGAATTATGTCAGCTAGTGCATATCTTGTACAATCAGCCTACAAAAGGAAGTAAGTGCAGTGATTTTAAAGAAGCCACTAAAAGCAGAGCTGTGACCTGCTCCTGGGTGGGTGACAATCACACCTACTCAGGGCAGAGAATGTAGGTGAGGTGGAGCGGCACTCATGGGGTTAAAAGGAGGACAGGCAGCCTGGAACACACTTGGAAGTTTACTGGGGGAAGCCTCACCTCCATCCCGCAGTGGGAAGTGCTGGGCTCTGTCTGCCAGCTCAGGTCCACTTCTCAGAAGAGAGTTCAACTTGAGGCTGGGAGGTTGGAAAATGTGGTCTTAGACGTAGCAACCTGCTGAGGACAGCAGCCCCTTAGCAGGACACATAGTGATGTTGGTGGAATAGTAACCAGGCATGCATCGAGCGGTGAGATTTTTAGGAGAGTCTGTCTAGAGGAAGGGCTCTGCTCTTCACTAGCTCAATGACCTTGGGAAATTTACTTCCTGTCCATGGGACTCCATTTCCTCAACTCCAAAGTGGTAATAGTAGTCACACTGAAGCAGCACCAGAAGCCAAGAGCTTTGCACACATTATTTAATCTCTTAGCCATTCATGGGGTACCTTTTGTTAGCCAGATTCTATAGGTGAGGAAAATGGATGTCCGCAAGGTTAAAACACTAGCTGAGGTCACAGAGACAAAAATCGCACTCAGATCTGATGACTCCACAGCGATGTGCCTCCTGGTCTTCTCTCCTTGCTGCCTTCTTCAGAGCCAGGCTCTGGACTTGCAGCCACACTTGGGTCTCCTTTCTACTCTCAGCTCCCCTGGTCCTTGCCACCTACCTGCCTGCCTGCCTGCGTGCAGCCGTCCTGTAGTCCCCATGGATGGGCTAGACTGTGACTCTTCCTGGGG